TCAAGAGTCGTTGGGTGCGAGTGAAGAAAGAAGTATTAGGGACCACTTAGATCGAGTGAGAGCACATGACTGTGTCTTTAGCGTCTGGGAGACAAGACCACGTAGGATTGCTTAGTCTTAGAGCAATCACAGACAGGGCTTGGGTAAGGCTGAGCAGTTGTTGATTAGTTACTGTTGGTGCAGTCAGAACTGAACCTTAGCGAGGTTGCTAAGATGATGGAACACTGTTGGTGTAGTGGGAGGCAAGATCGATGTTTTGTCTCCAGGTGGGAGATTGTTGGGATAATGGAGCTAAAACAAGTAACTCATGTCCTATGAAAAAAATGATTTTCAATACTAGTATCAATTCCTACCTAGAGTAGGATATTATTGTCTTATAAGGATTACAATATTATTTTCCTATAAGTATTGAAATCTTTGGCATCTTATAAATAGGACCCTTATGTTAAGGTTTTATTTGTACAGAATCCAAATAAAAGACATTTGAGTGGTTGGTTGTCCCCAACCATAGAATGCTGACCATTTATGTGTATATTATTAATGATAAGCAATCTATATGTACTTAGATTGTAAAACATTATCAATAAATGACCACCTTGTGATATTTGAGTCTACCTCAAATAGCTAAGCTACACTCAAATGGGGTCGAGGAAGCGATGTCAGAATAGGGCACACAGTTAATGTGCAGCTCAGTTTTGATAAATTCCCCCCTCATAGACCGAGTGTTAAAAAGTTTAGGTAAAAATAAACACGCAAGTTAAAATATCAGGGGTCAGGTCAGTATGGTCAAACTACACACTCAGGTGGGTAAAAAACAAAACGCAATCAGAAGAAAATGATTCATTTCATTAAGCTAAAAACAAACGAAAATGAGCCGCCCAAGTATATGCGCTCAGGCGATAGTACAAGAAGAATGAGCAAAAGCAAATGCACTCCGACCCTTCAAAACTTTAAAGGAAATAATTTTGATGAAAGCAAGAAATGGCAAAGGAAGCAAAATGATCATGCGTCCCTATCAGCCCTTGCTGGTCAGCACGGACGCCATCGACCTCTTCAACTGAAGCTTTGCCCTTGTCCTTCTCCATGGAGGCCTCGAATGCCTGATATGCTAGGGCGAGGTCCAGATCAGGGGCAAGCCTTTTTCACCTCAGCGACGGTGATGTCGAACCTTTTGTTAACCAGGTCCCGCACCAGGTCGTCGAATTATAGGAGCTCCTTCATGGCGGATTCAAGGACATCAAAATTTTTTATTTTGGTCTCATAATCAACCTCTCAGCAGCTCGCTCCGTAGCCTCCTTCTCAGCTTGCTCCTTCGCCTCTTTAGCCCTCGTCTCAGCCGTTTTGATGTCTATCCTAGCCTGACTGATGAAGTTTTCCAGAGTGGAGGTTGATCTAGTCAATTCCTCAATCCTGTCCAAGCCTTAGCCAACTTGGCCTTCAGCTCCTCGGACTGTTTAGTGGCCTCACGTTCTCGAGTGAAGCTAACCTTGCGAGCTGTTAGCTATTGACTGACGAGCGCCACAGCATGGCAGACCATGAAGTGAAACCGATCCATCTAATCTATCAGACATAGGAGGTACTCCCCAGGCTTCTCGAAGAAGACATTCTCGTTCTTCTGAAGCATTCGAGACGAGCTTGTTTTCTAGGCCTTCACAGCAGCCTCGCGCACAGACTCCCCAGCAAAACTTGACTTGAAAGGGTATGAGAAGTCTTTATTTGGCAGGGTCGGAGGCTGAGCATCATCTTGGGAGTGGATGCTAATTGGTTTTGGAGGAGATCGGGATGAGGCCCTATCCGATCGCTTTCCCTTCGAGTCGGTTGAGGATCGACTCTTTCGCTACGATGAGGGAAAGGCCAGCAGAGTTTGCAGGTGGTCAGCTCGGAGAGGGCGAGACAGTCCCTCAGATCCACGTGGAGCTGTGCCTGATCTCCCATGCTTCTGAGATGTCTCGCAAGGCATTGATTGGTTTCCTAGACATTTTCGATTCATGGAGGTGTATAGTTTCAAAACCATGGTGTCTAGTCTCTCCGTACGTTGGTGGTCAAGCTGAACTAGCCTGCACTGATGGAGGTTGATGTTGTCTAAGATGTCCTCGTACCAGAGTTTGTCTAATTTTCGCACCCTCTCTTTGACTTCCAAATAATATCCGCTGATCTGAGGTGGAGGCGCGGGAGTGCTGCAAAAGAAAAGAGGACCGTTAAATATTCCATGGTGAGTTGAGCCTTAAGAAAGACCGACCACTAAGGACTTACCTACTTCCCCAAATTCGGTTGGGACTTGGCAGCATGGCTCCCCATTCACGGTGGCCAGCCAACCCCCCGAGACGAGGAACCATTTATCCCTCCAAATTTTGTTAGTTAAGGGAGTATGGATGACTTTGGCGAAGGTGTTCCGAGTAGATATATAGTGCAGACCCGGAAACTCCATGTAAGACTTTATCAGGTGAGTCGCTAAAATTTGGCCCACATCTAGCAGCAGGTCAGCCTCACCTGCACTGAAGCCCTACCAGGTGTAGTATAAACCCAGCAAGGTAGCCCGTCCGTTAGGGACAAGCTGAGATGGGGCCAAGTTTGTGGCTGACAAAAAATGCTGCATGAAGGGATGAAGTGGAAGATGGACTCCCCATTTAAACATCTGTGGGTATAGTCCGACCCACCTAGGTAGGGGGTTGTCTAAATGCTCACGCAACCTGAGGGTTCGTTAGCGCCCCTTTGTGTTTTCAAGTGAGACAAAAGGACAAAGTGAGTCATCCTATTTATAGCATTTAGTGAAGACATATCTGTCATTCGCTACATTCAAATCCAACGGTCCAGATGCGATCCTACCAAAACCAACTAAGCATGATGTCACTTTACGTCAGCTCGACCGTTCACCTTCCAGTTCTTTTTGGGAAGCTTCTGATCAGTTTTCCACTCAACCACGCCACTGAGTTGAACCGAAGTGGCGCATCAGCACAGTGAGGGCCAATGTTGGAGGTGATTTTCGACCTCACATGTGGCATGTTTCGAGTGGAGGAAAAAGACATACGTTGCTTTGAGATGGTAAGCTTAAGCTTACTTACTTTGGCAGTAAATCTTAGTGCCGAGTCGACGCTCTCTAGGGCTGAGCAGACCAAGTTTCCTTTAGGTATTGTTCTCATTCTTTGGTTGAACCGACCTGGACCTACTCGACTCAGCCTTACATTCTGACAGACTCTACGATAGCACGTCACGATTCATGGCAACCTTAAATAGTCGTTGAGGCCTTGTCGGAACTCTGTTGAAGACCCCGCCTATATATGAAGATCATTTGCTTCAGTTCCAGATACTCGAACACTAGATTCTCTCTTGAGTTTAGTTTGGCCAGCAATTGACTTTGGCATCAGAGCGTCTTCTGTTTTGCAGGTTCCCTGCTCAACCAATCTCTAGCTCGTCTTCTAGATCATCCTCGATTCTAGCTGAGGTTCGTGGAGTTGGTCAATTTCCTGATCAAACAGACATTGTTTCTAAAAAATGAGAAACAAGAAACAATATAGTTTGTCAAAGGTTTAAATTTCTTTATAAAATTGAAAATAAGAAATTAAAAACGGGACAAACCAAATGGACTTTAAAAGGGTTAAAAACATTAAGTTCTTTTTACCTTTTTTTTTTTCTTCCTTATGTTACAACTATTTGTTCTCTCTTTAATTTATCATCTAAACTTGCGGTTGTCCTTATGTTACAACTATTTGTTCTCTCTTTAATTTATCATCTAAACTTGCGGTATCAACCAAGACATGATAACAAAGTTTACAATTACAACTAAGAACATTTTTTTCCAAAGAGTTATGTAATTAACTTCTTCGGCAACTTTTTAATATATATTATCAAAAAATTAAGAGTTCTTTTGGGGTGATTTTTGTAGGACCAAAATAATTTTTGTTATTGTCAAAATCACTCCTCTTACCTTAGATTAGTAGCTTTATCGAGATCATAAGAGAATTGTACAAAGGCTTCTAATTCGGCAAATTRAGCCAATTCCAATTTTAATTTGTCGACTACTTGTTTCATTAATTTGATCGACATATCCTACTCTGGATGTTTGACAAATTAAAAAATTAATTTTAGGAAAGTATAAAGTCAATTTAAGTTGATTTTTAAAGTATCACTTGGATGGTGATTTGGAAAATGAATCATACTTAAATCTCTTTTTTCAAAATCACTCCTTCACTCCCAAACACACCCTAAGTCCCTTTTTAGATATATATCTTAGGGATAGAAATTTAATCACTAAACTTGTGTCCATAACTGGTCAATATTAAGTATAGGTCGGTTAACTCGATACATAATAGAACGATATACGTAGAGCAATTTTTTTTTTTTTGAAATTACGTAGAGCAATTGGTACGTATATAGTAGAGGAAAACTAGTCATAATATGTACAGATTAATTAATCAATCTCAATACTGTGAAAAGAAATTTAGTCGTGCCTGTGTAGAATTGCCACAAACACTAAGGGTGTCAAGATCACTCTTGTCATTGTCAAAAGCTTCTCTTTCCATTGATCATGTTTGGCAAATTAAAAAATTGATTTTAGAAAACTTTAAAATCACTTTAAATTGATTTTTAAGGTATTACTAGATAATGATTTTGGAAAATCAATTATAGTTAAATCTCTTTTTTCAAAATCACTAATTCTATCCTCGCTCCCAAACACACCCTAAACACATTGATACATAATGATTCTAGAGTGGTTCCAAATACTCCTATCATAAATAATGTACACCATAGAAATACACGTGCCTTAGTGTATGAAAAATTATTAGAGGTAACAAAGGCCAGGGGGGTTTGGAAATCATTTGTCAAATTCTTTTTGTAGCTTCTCAAACCACTCTAAACATATGAAAATTTCAAAGTTCAAACCACACATTTTATAATCTAAATTAATAATTAAATAATCAATAAAAGTAACTAAATTCACCATTAAATATAAAATTTTAAATCCATATCAATCAATAACTAAGCCAATTACACCATTTTTTAATTTTAAATTTTAATTTTTTTAAGTACTAACATGTAAGGATGGAGATCGAACTCASAGTCTTATAATTGGAGTTACAATAATAATAATTCAAATAATAACCTCCTGCACAAAAAGGTCGACTCAAATTCCTACTCAACTCAAAAAAGAATAATAATTAACTACTCACGGAAATTACTAATACTGTGGAAACTTGGGATTGGAAGTTGTCCTGGTCTCCGTTTTACCTGAAATATTAATACAACAATTATATTCATAAGAATTATAGAATTATAGAATTTAATTTTTATAAGTTATATCATTCAAAAGTTTTCTCGATATCCAATATTCGTCCCTTATTCTAATTTAATTTACTATACATTTTTTCCTGGGACAAAGTTGAGCTAGTATAGCTCAACATATCTCCAACCAAGAAGTTAAAAAATACTAAAATTTGTATAACAATATTCCTCTTTCCCGAAATTTTCTTCCAATCCCTCTTGCTGGAATTTGGATATGTTAAGGATCTCGGACGTAACATAGGTTTATAATAGACATGGACTACTCCTCTTATTGTCAATTGGTTTTGAGATGGAATCCCATGAATATTAATATTATATCAGAGCCCAAAAGCTCAAACGAGTAATCCGGTCCAAAAAAATTCTAGGGAGAGGGAAAATTGTTTTGAGCGCCTAATGACCAAAATCTCTCTAGCTAAAGTAAAAATCGAAGAAGAGATTCCTAAAATTCAGGAAATCGCACTTTCAGTACTAGTATCCCATACCTATCAGATATCATTCCAAGACAAATTCATGAAGCTAAAACTGCAATTGAAGTTTGGACTAAACTTGATTCACCAACAAGCTCTACATTAAGGAGAAATTCTAGGAGTTCAAAATGGATGTAAATAAGGATTTGAGGCAAAATAAAGATGAATTGAATTAGTGTTATCAATAACTGATGTACTTTGGTATACTTCATACTAAGTATATCAACTATAACTTATCCACCTCGATGTACTGCATATCAGGAATATCTCCTAGATATGTATTGATGTACTCCATACTAAATATATCAGCTAGAAAATCGATATATATATCTTGATGTACTTCATACTAAATATACATATATATCATCTATATATAATACATTTTGATGTACTTCATACTAGGTATATCCACTATAATTGATACGTCTTGATGTACTGCATACTACATATATCAACTATAATCAGGTATATACCTTCCTAGCATGGCGTACATAGGTATATCATTTCCAATTTCTTAACTCTCTAGTCCCAAAAAATGTCATTGGATTTTGAGTAAACTTCAAGAACTAAAATACCAAGAGACTAAACAAGATATATCTTGTTGTACTCCATGCTACTTTATACCGAGCAAGCTGATATATTAGTGGGTTGGGCCTTCCGACTGAGGGTAAATTAGACTTTTTTCTAATTGGTCATAGATGGACCGCTGAAATTTATTATGTTTACAAAATTAAAATGTAGTTGCTAATTTTGAAATAATTTCATATTATCATTATTATTATTATTATTTTGCTAGGATTGCAACTGCCCCCTAGAACTATATTCCTTGTTCTTTCTCACGACTATATGGATGATTCATTAATTAATTTTTAGTCAAAATCCARAGGACAAGAGTAAGTAGGTGCTTACAGGTGGGAGAATATTTGGAGAGTAGGTGTTGTCCACACCTGATTGCCAAAACAAAAGTAGATATATAAAGTTAAAAGTTATCATAAAATTAAACTAGTTTATAATATTAGAAAACCAAAGGATATAGTTGCAGAATAAATTATCATAACATATTACATGTATATTAACTTTTACAAATGGTGAACCCACAAATCAAATACAAACGACATAAACCAATACTTTTAAGCACATAATACAAACCTTAATTGATTCCCCTAGCTTTGCAAAACTACCTATTAAAGACAGTGTCTTTTCTTTTGTCTAGTTGTCATCGAGTTGTTAAACTCTCGAAGCGCAACCTAGTTGGTAAGGGCTTGAGGTCTCTTGATTACTGGTTTAGAGGTTTCAAGTTCAGACTTTTTGGTAAATAGTCTGAAAAGAGAAAACTTGCTAGAGAAAAGGGCTCCAATTCAAAAGAATAACTCCTAACTGATAATTACATAACACTCTAACAAAGTACTGAATCCAAAGGTCAAATCAAAATTTCTTTATGCTATGAGGATCTTGTCCAACAAGGTATATCTAAAGGAAAGGTTTGAGAGTGCTTAAGGGTGTGTCCGGGAGTGATGATAAAATTATTGATTTTGAAAATAGAGATATAAGTATAATTGATATTCCAAAATCACCATCAAAGTGATACTTTAAAAATCAATTTAAAATTATTTTAAACTTTCTTAAAATCAATTTTCTAATTTGTCAAACACATCCATGGAAAGAGAAGTGATTTTGACAGTGATTTTGACCATCTCCCAAACACATCCTAAATGAATTCCATACGATGACCACATAGTTAACTCAAATTGGCAAACAATTTGAGGATGAAAATTAAGCAATAATCTTGTTGAATTCACTACCATAAACTTATAAAGATGTCAAGACTACATAAAAGTATGAAGTAGACACCTTGTTGGTAAAATATAAGGAAAAGAAGGCAATCTTGCGAACTAACTTATTGGTAAAAAGGAAATATATTATGAAAATATTTTCCAAGGGAACTAAGACTAGGAGAAGATTGTAGAAAGCATACAAAAGGCTCATGGAACTATTTTAGTGTCATAAGGAGGGACATTTCAAAAGGTTTGGATTTAAGTCACAGGAAAGAAATGTAAGCAGAACAAAGAGCATATCAAGATGGCCTAGGTCCTAGCTTCAAAAGTTGCACTTATCATGTCATAATCTTGGAGGATGTAAGATATGTCCCACGGCCGGTTAGATACAAATAGTCTCGAACTCCAATTAGAAATTCGTTAGGACCTTTAGGCGTTGTTCTTCAAATTGCAAATTTTTGTTAATTTTCTTAGTGAAAAATCGATATAGAAGCCAAAAGCCTATAAAAATGCCTAATAAGACCTGGGGTTCCCCCTTCAAACCCCAAACAGTTCATTGAAATGCAGTATGGGAAAAAAGAGAAATGAGTTCCTGCAATGACCATCTATATATGGAAGGACAGTTTTATTGATGGGAGAAAGTCTTCCCTTCCCAATTTTGCTTGGTTTTCCCACTCTCCCTTTGAATGCCTGGTGCCATAGGTTGAAGATACAGTGGAAGAGAAGGAACCTTGGAAGTCAAAAAGAAGAAGCAAGGACAAAACTGAATGGAGAAAAAGCACAATGGATTGTATGTTCTAAATAATGTTGCTTCATATCTTAATGCCTCTATGACTGAGATAAAAGACAGTTCCCATGGCATATTGATTGGCTTATTGAAATAGAAAATAAGTACAAACCAAGGGAAGATTCAAGAGCTCTCTAACTCTCACAACACTCACTTGAGCACAAAAATACCAACAATATACCTAATGCATTTGCAACTTCACTCATATAGTCGCCGACATCAACATAGTTTAGGGATTGAGACATCTTGCTTATTTCCCTATAAGTTGGAGGTTCAATCCCCATTCTCACATTTGCTGTACTAAAAAAAAGAAGTTCTCATATACTCTGATCTTCATTTTCCCAACAACTCCTCTACCTCAGCCCATAGAACTCGTTTGGTAACATTTCTGTTACTTTATTTTTAATGAAATAAAATCTATTTCATGGTTCCAACCTCCAAAAATTAAAGTATAATAAAACAATATTTTTATTTATGTTTTGGAACAAATTGAAAATGAGAACCAGAAAGGAGAAACTTGTTTCGGTTGTTTCCAAAATTTCTATATAATTGTGAAAATGTTCCAAAAAAAGGTAGAAACAATAAACAACTTTTGGGGACCAATTATTGCAACTCCATCTTTAAATTGCTCGTGGTATTTCCAATTCATGGCTGAAAAATACAGAATGAAAAGCAAACTGTGAAGGAAGTTAAGTATTTGAGACATTCGCCTTGAATTTTGCAGTTGTTTGTTCAAAGCTTACAACAAAGAATGTGAAATTATAAGAAATTGCATACACCTTAGCAAACTGACACATCGAAAGAGGATGAATAATAGCCTAATGGAAAGAGTAAGATGCATGCTGTCTAATGCAGGCTTTGGAAGGAAGTTCTTTGGCTAAGGTCGTGAATAGAAGTTCTATAGAAACTTCTGAAGAAATTAAGAAAGAAATATGGTTAAAAGGTTTTGATCTCAAAAAGACTGGGATTTGCACAGGATAGTGTTACTATATTATGTGACCATTAGAGTGTAGTGCATTTAACTAAAAATCATAATTCTATAAGCAGACTAAACACATTGATGTAAAGCAGAATAAATATTTTAGATTATTCAAAACTTACAGGGAGAAAGGGAAATTTCGTCGCCATGGAGTACCTTCGGACAAAAGTTCTTATTCGCCGCTATAAGTTTTCAGTAAAATTTTTTAGATTAGTCCAAATTTACAGTGACGAAGGAGAATTTCGTTGCCAAAGAGTATCTTTAACGACGAAAGTTCTTTTTCGTCGCCAAAGGTAATGTATGGCAACGACTTTGGTCACCAGTAGTTTCATCCGCAAAAAAAAAAAAAAATTCTTGCAGCGCAAGAAGCTTTAAAAAAGTAAATAAATTTCATACTTCAGATAATGTAGTTTCTTTCTTATAAAATTTGTCACTCAAACCAAGTTTTTGAGTATTGTGTGAAGCTCATGAGGGTTACAGATTGTGTTATAGGATGGGCCAAAAGTTCAAAAAAGGAAAAACCTTTGGGACAAAAATTCTGAAGGGACAAAACTTTTATTTTTTCTTTGTTAGTTCAAAGGTGGAAATTTGTTAGTTTTAAGGTAGTTGAACTAATAGAAGATTTCCCTGCTGTTTATATCTTTTGCATTGCTGTCATCTAGCAGCTAATGGTTTTAAAATGAAGAGAGCACTTTGATTTTATTTAGTTCTTCTGCAGAGATATTCATCAATATAACACTAAGGCTTCTAATTGTGATAGCGTGGGAACCACTTATATTTCCTTGTGAAATTTTCTTTCTTAATCATTTTTCTGTCTTTCTATCATCTTTTTTAAAGTCTGGTTTTTAAGAGCTCGTTTGGTAATATTCTCGTTTTTTGTTTATCGTTTTCAAATTTTATTAAGAAACTTAAGTATTTTACTACTAATTATGTTTTTTGTTTCTCTATTTTTTCTTTTGTAAACATTTTCAAAATTGTATAGAAATTTTGGAAACAACCAAAACGAGTTTCTTGTTTCTTGTTTCCGTTTCCAATTTATTACAATACATAAATATAAATATTGTTTGATCATTCTTRAATTCGTAGATGTTTGATCATACAATTTTATTTTTCTTTATTAAAAATGAAGAAACAGAAACAAGAAGCTGTAACGTTACCAAACGAACCATAAGTTCTAAAAAGTCTAAGAAAACTTCATCTGTTAACCTACACTGCTACAAGAAAACGTATTTTTGCCGATGAACTAATCCCGACGAAATCAAATTCCATTGGGATAAGTCACTTTTCCAGAGGAAATTCATATTTCGTCGGGAAAGATCACGTCCAAAAAATTTGAATTTCATTTGCAAAAGACTCCTAACTAATTTTAAATTTCGTTGGCATAATTCACTTCTCCGAACAGTTCGTTGATTTCAATGGATCACAAGAAGGCAGGCATGGACAAATTTCTAAGGTACAGAAAACATAAATATAGATATGTAAATGAAGGCTAAAGTAAATTTATCACAATATAATGTCAAATTGGGAAATTCAATAAAATGGTCCAAATATACCTTTCAATCTTTCAAGACCTGAGCCAGCCAGTTTTAAAGTTGTGAGACTCTTGCAGCTGTTAATTACTGAAAAGCTTCTGAGACTAACACAACATGTTAGATCCAAGGAAGTTAAACGATTGAGGCGGCTAATCGAATGATCAATCATATACAATCTTGTACAGTTACGTAGAACCAAACTTTCAAGATTTGGAACCTTAGTAAAATTAGGCGTCTCGCGCAAATTTCTTGAATCACTGACATCAATAACCTTCAATTTCTCAAACCCCTATTACAAAATAGTTGGATGCAGCTTCTGAAATGTTAAAACTTTATATGGAAGATATAATTTATAGAAGAAACAAAATTGAAGAATTGACTGGTTTTTATATGTACTAACCTTTTGTCCTTTCCAAAGTTGTGTATTTTGACCAACAGGTAAGAGAAGTTCAAACAGATATCTTGATTCAAATTGTAATGGCAAACATGTTGAAGGATAGCCATGCCAGTTGAGTAATCTCAATTGTTTTGAGAGATGTGTGAAGTCTTCACAAAACTCCACATTACCAATTTCCAATATTCTTAAACCTGTCATATCTTCAAATAAGCCAGCTTGTAGCTTTAGTTTGTCTTGCTTCTCTTCCAAGTCCAACACTATGCCTTCAATGTGTTTTACTCCCTGAAAAATATGAGTGACACAAAAATAAACTATGTATAATAGCAAGAAAAAAAAAGAGAACATATGTAATAGTTAAAAGTAAGTTCAATTGAATAATACTTAATTACTGGCCGCCGGTCACCTATCTCACCTATCTCTTTTTGACCCATTAAATTTTTGACCGACAAGAAAGAGAAAGGTAGAAAGTGACTTTCTACTTTTCAAACATTAGAGAGCTATCAAATTTTATGGGATAGTCAACATGAAGATAGGTGCATACTAATCAACACCCAAATATTATTCATTCAAATTTATGTTTCTTACATGTCGTTTATCAAATACGTCGAGGACATCTTTCCGAATCCAAATCCTACTTCGTTCATCTGCATCACGTTCGATTTTTCGACCCATAGTTTGAATGCAATTAGGTATAAATATTGTGCCATCTCGCCTGACTTCAATAAGACATCTATCGTACAATAATTGTATTTCGCTATGGGGTCTATAATCAAAACTCCGAAGTATTTCAATCACTTTATCTTTTCTCCTCCCATTGAAGAAACATGCTAAATCAAGAAAAACTTGTTGACTCGTCTTCTCCAGACCATCGAAACTTATCTTTAATGTCTTGAATACATGTTTATTGTAATCTATATCAAGACTATTCAACTCTTCTTTCCATACATCTATATCTTGACCGTACAAATACGATCCAATTTGTACCAAAGCTTGTGGATGCCCTTTAACCCTATCTACGATCTCCTTACTGAGCTGCTCAAAATTCTCATTGGGACAGGTATGATCTCCAAAGGCATGCTTGCAGAAGAGCGAGAAGCCACTCTTATAATCAAGTAATTCCACCTTATATTCGAGCAATTTGTCTTTATAATTAGATTGACGAAGAACATCTCTATTTCTAGTTGTAATGATAATTTGACTCTTTGGACCAAACCAATCCGGACTTCCAGCTAACTTTTCTAACTGCCCTTTCTCATCAATCCCATCAAGAACAATAAGAACCTTTTTACCGCTCAAATGATATTTGATCATGTATTCTCCTTCATTCTCATCCATTATTTTAATGTCTTCTTTTCGAAGAAGTTGAGATAGAAGCTGATGTTGCAGCGAGATTAAACTCAAACTGTGTCCTTGAATGCGAAGAAAGCAACGATTTTTTCCAAATTTATGGGCAACCTTGTCGTAAAATACTTCAGCAATGGTTGTTTTACCAATACCACCCATTCCTATTATTCCCACAAAACATACGTCATTTGATTCTAAACCAATGAGCGTATCCATCGAATACAAACGACGCTCAATATCAACTAAGTTATTGAGTTTGTCAGCAGCAACCAACTTTGGATAATGCAACATATCAAATACTTGCTTTGTGATTTTGTCGATGCTAGCCACTTCAACGCTGCATAGCATACCCAGTAGTTAATCGAAGTTATTTGTCAAGTGCAAATTAAATCGATGCTATATGTTGAATGGTTATAATTACAATCCTCAATCCGTAGGCCAAAAAATAGAGTGCACAGCCGAATAATTTCTTCTAGGTCAATAATTACTTAGCTGCATTTTTTTCCTAATTTTAAAAATAAAAGAGATAAGAAGTGGGGTTGATTGGAGTATCCATAAGGAAAATTTGGAGAATGGATTCCTATGTTTCTTGGGGTTTGTAATGGGAGTAGCTAAAATATTTACGATATTTACGAATATTGCAACAATTTTTGGATTTCGTAAATATGGTAAAATATTTGAAATTAATTTTTCAAAAAATATAAATGATATATCGAATCAGATTATCAATGGTATATCAAATCAGATATATATATATGAATTATATGATTGGTAGATAAACATTCATATAAGATATATCATAGTTGATATATTAGCACTCATAATAAGGTATATTAGTATTATTGATTCATTCGGTAAAATTTAGAGAATAGCTAAAAGTATGCATATAAAATATTAATTATAAGATACTATTTTGGTCACTTGCTTTAGGTTTGGTTCATTTTGATCCATGTATTTTCAAATTGTTTATTTTGGTCCATAACTTTCAATTTTTGTTCATTTTACTTTCAAGATGTTCGTTTTAATCCCTCTACTTTTAAAAAATAATCATTTTGGTCTCTTAATTTTATTTTTAATCTCATTTTCTCTATCACAATTTCAACACTGCACTAGACTCAATATATTTCTTGAAATGTGACAAAGACTATTAAAGGATTTTCATTAGTTGTAGAATTTGTGTTAAAATTTTTGAAACTAATGGATCAAAATAGTCACTTTTTAGAAGTACATGGACCAAAACAAGCATTTGAATGTATGAGAAGTAAAATAAATCAAATATGAAAATATAGGGACCAAAATAACCATTTTAAAAATGGAGGGACCACCAAAATGAATCAAAGATGAAAGTATATGGATAAAAATAGCATTTTCACCTCAAATATGGGGATCAAAGATCAAGAATGAGAGTTGGAGGCCTTGAAATGTGGATTTTTCTTGTTTAAAATGAGATTTTCCATTTGATGAGGGTTCCTGGTAAGAAACAAAAGAGGGTTGTAAAATTTATTACCTTTCTTTTGTTACAACTACTCCAGTGAGATTGGCGATTTTTGTCATAGCCTCCCTCCACTGCTGGACCTCGTGTTCTTCTTTCTGCTCATAATTCATGAATTGTTGAAGGGTTTCTTCGTATTCATCGAAACATTTCTTAAAACTCCCCGACTGATGTCGAACATCGGAAGGATCGACATGGTAAAACACCGGAAGGACTCGATGTGAGCATTGAACCATGCAGTCGATTATCTTGGCCAACTCTCTCAAACACCACTTAGAAGAAGCATAGTCCTTCGATAAAACGACGATGGAAGACCTCGATTTTTCGATTGCTCTAACGAGCTTGTTACTAATATTGTCTCCGATCAAGAGGCTGTTATCATCCTTAAAAGTCATTATTCCCAACTGATGCAACTCCTTGTATAGGTATCCGATGAACGTGTTACGAGTATCTTCGCCTCTAAAACTTAAGAAAATATCATAACTCATTGGAGGAGGATTTGATGATGAAGCTTCCATGGCTGCCTATACAACAATCTCGAGATGAAATGAAATAATAAGATCTCTCTCACGAACAAACAAGTAAACACCACAACTTGATGCAAGTCAACCCAAAAAATAAGAACTAATAATCCATAGATTTATTTCCTCGAGAATGAGATGACAAAGTCAAAGCAAAATTAGCAAGTTGTTGTTATTGTTAATTTAAAAAGGAAGATGGGTTTGAGATTTATTTTGTAAGTAACTCGAAAGGAAAATAACTAAGACCGCCTTTAATAATTATTTTGGACCCATTTGATAACGATTTATGTTTTTAGTTGGTAGTTTTTCGTGTTTTATGCTTTATGTTTTTGTTAACTTTTTTTTTCAAAAATATAAAACTAAACCCTTTTCATTGTCATTTTTTGTTTTTAAAAAGTTAAAAAAATATATTTGAGAGAGAAAAATCTACGTAGAGTACTCATGATAATGGATAGGAAGACGAATTCGGGATGCCCTTTCCATCTCGTCCTCGTAGAAATTTTTAGTCTTCATCCCCACCTGATTTTCTGATTTTGGGAATCGAGGTTTAGGTAGAGGAATTCCCATTTTGGAGACAAAAATCTTTAGGAGAAAAATTACCGGTTTGCTAATTAATTTTAATTATTTTTATAATTTTAAAAATAAAAAGAGAAATAAATATCTATAATTTATGTCTATTTAGTTTTAAAAAATATTTAATATTTTATTTATTAATTTAGTAAAACATTTAATAAAATTTATAATAATAATTTAAAAGAATGGAATGAGGACGGGGTTTGGACATGGTGGGAAATGCATTCCAAATTCTTGGAGTGGTGACCAAACTGTGTGGAAATTTTTATCATCCCACGTGAGATAAAGAGAGGCTTTTTAAAGAGAAATTTTAGAGAGATAAAGAAAGGTTGGAAAAAAATTAGTGAGAGAACAGCTAAATACATATATAAAAATTTTAAACAGAGTATATTTCTTAAAGAAAAAAATAGATTAAAAAGCGAAAAAAAAAGTTATAATCGAAATTTGAGAGAGAGAAAAGTTGGAGAAAATATCAAATTTTTTAGAATGATAGGTTAGAATAAGAAAAGAAAAGAAAAATATATATGGATATTAAAATTTTAGAGAGAGAAATAGTAGTAAATATTACCTAAATGAAATTTTTAGAAAGAGAAATTTAGGAAGGAAAAAGTTTTAGACTAGAAAAGAAATTTGTGAGAAAACATGTGTTGAAGAAAATAAAAGTTGAGAATTAGATGAAATAATGAGATTGTTTTTAAACAAACTACTTTTTTTTTTTTGTTTTTTAAATTTACTTAGAATATCAAAAACGTTTTTTGAAAATAGAAAAAATAAATTTGTTTTTCAAAAATCAAAACAAAAAAGATAATAAATAAATAAAATAGCTATCAAACATCTACTTCTTTTTTGTTTTTTGTTTTTAAAAATTATTATGGTTGTCTTGCTCAATTTTTCTGAGTATTTTTTCATCATCTTTATCCAAATTTTAGGAAATAAAAAATAAATTTTTGAAAATTATCTTCTTTTTATTTATTTCAAAAAACATGAAATTAAAAATAAAATAGTTATCAAAATGACCTAACTTATTTATCTAAAAAGCACTCAAAAGTAGGTTGTAAAAAGCTTCTCAAATTATTTTTTATTATTGAAATTTATTTTATAGTATTTTTAATAAGTTAAAATTGCTCTATAAAATTTTAACCAAACACTAGTAATTCGAAAGAAAAAATTATAATCTTCCATAAACACCTTAACAAACATGCTAAACGCATAAGGCAAATACTTTTATTTAATTAAAATGAGCGTGTGAGCTTGTAATTCGTCTTTTTAACTCACATATATATCACATACATGAATGAAGCTTGTAAGAATACTTTAAAAATTAGGGGAGTTTTTATAATAGGACTCCCTAATATTATTCAAATGCATAATCATAGAAGACTTTTATAAAATTGTGAAGATATGTTCCCTTACTATATTTTAAATTCCTTTGAATGGTATTTCTATATTTGAGTTCACATTTAAATATCTTTGTTGTCTTAATTATTAGTCTACTATTTTGACAAAGTAACGATAGAGATTGGCTTTATATATTATTTGAAAAAAAATTTCACCAATCTACTGACGATTTCATTGTAAAATAAATAGTGTTGAAACTATTTGGTCAATTTAACTTTGTTGATATTTGTTTGGGGGTAAACGTACCCAAGACACGTGGAGGACCCTTATTAGTGTTTGAAGAAACTGAATAAAAAAAAAGGGATTGCCTAGGTCCATCTCGGCCCTGCCGAGGAGACTGGGTTCGCCCGTTATAAAAGATTATGGGCACCAAGGTTCGACCTGACTGGGGTCCGACCTGCTCGGAACCCGACAGGTCCAATATGAGAAAAGACATATAACCGCCGGTTGTGTGTGCTGTCGGATCCATCACCTATAAATAGAGGGCTTCATTTCACGCTCAGGTATCGAATCTCACCTCGAATTAAATACGGAGTCCGATCTATACTAACTTAAGCGTCGGAGTGCTTACCCTCTTGTGCAGGTCCACCCTAGTGCTCAGGTCGGAACCGGAGACCGGGTTCGAGCTTGATTCGTGAAGAACC